TAAAGACAGTTGAACTGAACAGCACCATCAATCAACTGGATCTAACTGACATCTAAAGATTACTTCATCCAACAACAACAAAATATACCTTCTCAAGCTCACATGGAGAATTCACCAAGATTAAGGGCCATAAAACACACCACAAAATTTTAAAAGAATAGAAAGCATACTAAAAGTACGCTCTCAGACACAAGGGAATTAAACTAAAATTAGTAAGATACCAAGTATTTACAGATAAATGAAAAACCCCTAATAGTTAGAAATTAAACACCACCTCTAAATGATACATTGGTTTCAAAAGTCTCAAAAGAAACTTTTAAATATTTCAAACTAAAAGAACATGAAAAAAGAATTTATCAAAATTCTGGGATACAGCAAAAGCAGTGCTTAGAAGAGCGACATAAACCTAAGGCAAGTAGAAGAAAAGAAATAAAAATTAGAGAAGTCAATGAAACTGAAAACAGTAAAACAGAGAAAAATCAACAAAACCAAAGTCTGGTTATTTTATCAATAAAATTGATAAATCTCTAGCTGGGCTAACAAATAAAATGAAGGAAGACACAACCCACTAACATCACAAAGGAAAGAGGAGCCACTACTACTGATCCCATGGATATTAAAAGGATAGTAAGGAGTATTATGAACAACTCTATCTCCACAAATTTGACAACTTCGATGAAATGAACCAATTCCTTAAAAGATATAATCTACCAAAACTTACACAAGAAACAAACTGAAAAGGCTTACATCTATTAAAGAAACTGAATTGACAATTAATAACCTTCCCAAGCAGAAAATACAAAGCCCAGGTGGTTTCACTGATGAATTCTATCAATGTTGAATAAAATGACACCAGTTGTGTACAATCTCTTTCAGAAAATAGAAACGAGAACGATTCCTTTCTCATTCTATGAGGCAAGTCTAATATCAAAATCAGACAAGACATTACAAGAAAGGACAATTACAGACCAGTGTCTCATTAACCTTGATACAAAAATCCTTGACAAAATATCAACAAATTGAATGCAATAATATGTAAAAACAATTATACACGGGCTTCCCTGGTGGCGCAGTGGTTAAGAATCCACCTGCCAATACAGGGGACACGGGTTCGAGCCCTGGGCCGGGAATATCCCACATGCCGCGAAGCAACTAAGCCCGTGCGCCACAACTACTGAGCCTGCTCTCTAGAGCCCGGGTGACACAACTACTGAGCTCACGTGCCACAACTACTGAAGCCTGTGCGCCTAGAGCCCATGCTCCGCAACAAGAGAAGCCACCGCTATGAGAAGCCTGCACACCACAACGAAGAGTAGCCCCTGCTCACCGCAACCAGAAAGACTGCATGCAGCAACAACGGACCCAACACAGCCAAAAAAGTAATTTAATTAATTAATTTAAAAAGAAAAGAAGAATTATACACCATGGCCAAGTTCCATTTATTCTACATATGTAAAGCTGATTTAGTATTCAAAAATCAATTAGAAACATTAAAAACTAAAGAAAAAACATGATCATATCAATACGTACAGAAAAAGCATTTGACAAAAGTCAACACCAATTCATGATTTAAAAAAAAGCACACAAACAAAAAACCTTTGAGGAACCGGAACTAGAGGGGAACTTCCTTAATGTGATAAAGAATATCTACAAAAAACCTACAGCTAACATCATACGTATTGGTGAGAAACTAGATGCTTTCCACCCAATATCATGAACAAGACAAGCAAGTCCCCTCTTACCATTCTTATTCAACATTGTTGTGGGAAGTCCTAGCCAATGCAATAAGCAAAGGAAGTGAAAGGTATAAAGACTGAGAAGGAAAACATAAAACTGTCTTTGTTTCCAGAAGACATGACCGTGTATACCGGAAGTCCCTAAAGCAAGGAAAAAATACCTGCAATTAGTAGGCAACTATAGCAAGGTTGCAAGATACAGGTAAAGTTGTTTTCCTATATATCAGCAACAAACAGCTGGAATTTAAAATACACCATTTGCACTAGCACCAAAAAAAAAAAAAAATACTTAGGTATAAATCTAACAAAATGTGTCTATGTGAGGAAAAAGTACAAAATGCTGATGAAAAATCAAAAAGATCTAAATAAATGGAGAGTAACTGCATGTTCACAGATAGGAAGACTAAATATGGTTAGATGTCGGTTCTTCCCAACTTGATCTTTAGATCCAATGCAATCCCAATAAAAACCCCAGCAAGTCATTTGTGGACAAACTGATTCTAAAGTCTATATGAAAAGGTAGAAGAGCTAGAATAGTAGGTACAATACTGAAGAACAAAGTTAGAAGTCTGACACCCAATTTTAAGACATACCGAAAAACTATAGTATTCAACACAGTGTAGTATCAGCAAAAGAACAGACCAATAGAACGGAATAAAGAACCCAGAAGCAGAAACATACAAATATAGTCAACTGACCTTTGAAAAAGGAGCAAAGAAAATTCAAAGGAAAAAGGACAGTCTTTTCCTAAACACTGGCCTTACACCTTTCACAAAAGTTAACTCAATGGATCACAGGCCTAAAGGTAAAACTCAAAACTGTGAAACTTCCTGAAGATAACATAGGAGAAAATCTAGGTCACCATGGGTTTGACAATGAGTTCTTAGATACTCCACTAAAAGCACAAAATAGAAAAAAGAAAAAAAATTGATGAAGTTGGCTTCATTAAAATTTTAAACTTCTGCTCTCTAAGAGACACTGTTAAGAGAATGAAGACAAGCCACAGACTAGGGGAAAATACTTGCAAAACACTTATCTGGTATAGGACTGATATCCAAAACATTCAAAAAACTTTTAAAACTCAACAGAAAGAAAACTGATTTTTTAAATGGGCAAAAGATCTGAAAAGACACCTCCCTGAAGAGGATATACAGACGGAAAATAGTATCATTAGAGAACTGCAAATAAAACAGTAAGATGCAACTATACACCTATCGGTGGGACTACAATCCAAAACACTGACACCACCATACGCCTGCAAGGAGATAGGACAACAGGAACTCTGGTTCACTGCTGGTGGGAAGGCAAAATAGTCCTGGTTCACTTTGGAAGACAGCTGGGCAGTTGCTCACAAAGCTAGGCACAGGCTTTACCGTAAGATCCAGCAATTTCACTACTAGGTATTTTTCCCAATGCGTTGAAATCTGTCCTCCAAACACCTACATATAAATGTTTATAGCAACTTTGTTCATAAGTGCCAAAAATTGGAAGCAATCAAGATGTCCTTCAAAGATGAATGGATAAACAAACTGTGGTAAATCTATATGATGGAATCCCATTCAGTAATGAAAAGAAATATGTTATCAAGTCACAAAAAGACATTGTATATCGCTAAATGAAGGAAACCAGCCTGAGAAGGCTAAAAACAAAACTACAGATTGCCAGAGGTGGGGAGGGGCGGGAAGGGAAGGATGAGTATAGGTGGAACACCATCTGTAGGCAGGTGAAACTATTCTGTATGACACTATAATTATGATACATGACATTATGTATATGGCAAAGCCTGTAGAACTGTATGACACGAGTGAACCCTAATGTAAACTATGGATTTCAACTAATAATGATGCATCAGTATTAGTTCATTAATTGTAACAAAATACACCACACAAGATGTCAACAATAGAGCAAACTATGGTAAGGAAAATTGTATAAATGAGGGGGGGGCAGGGGGAGGACTGTACTTTCTGGTCGATTTTTCTGTAAAACTACTCTCAAAAAATGCATATTAAATCAAAAATCCCTTTTATCTACTTTAAACACTGAGGTTCTATGTGAAATTTTCCTGAGAATATGCATTCTTTTTGGCAAAGATATTTGACAGTCAATGGTGTGATACAATTCTTTAGATTTTGATAAATCTTTTAAACCCCATTTTCGTTGCTTGATTATGTGCCCTTGGGCAGGCGTTGTAGCTTCTGAGTTTCAGCATCTTTGTGTGTAAAATAAAAAATTACCTTTCTCATAGGTCAACCGGATCTAATTAGATAAATATATGTAAAGCACTTAGCAAAAGCTGCACAGAGTAGGCATGTAAATGGTTGTTCTTTTCTTTCTCCCTCATTTGTCCCCAAATTCTAACTCCGGTAAGGTAGAACACAACCTGTCTCAAACCAGTATTTCTCAAACAAAGGTATGCATACCCTAAAGGTACATGCAACCATTAAATAAACACCTTGTGTCTTCCTGGGGCTCAATTTAAAATCTGGGGGGAAAAAGCTATTTAACTGGTAACTTAAAACACTGTTATACCAAAACAACGTTGCTTGAGTATTTGCACTATATTTCAAGAAGCAACACAGACTGAGCTTTCATTAGAATTTTGGTCACACTCCCAGACTTCCAGGGCCACTTCTCCACCATCTTCAGCTGTTCGGGGTGTATCTCAAACTTCTCCACTGAAGCACTGACTTTCCTTTCTAGTTTTAATTATGTTACTAAACACAAGTTCATTTTCTTCTCAATGTCAGTGCCGTGTCAACAGTTTAGCTCCAGAGGGCCTGGCTCCTCTTAAATTACTAAGGACAACCTGAAAAATAACATTTTACATTACACAAGCCATTTAATATGGAATTTATAGTTATATGAGTCAAAATTAAGCAATAATTGAAATGAAGATGGTACTTCTTTGATTGCTTTCTCAAGGTCTTAGCTATTACCTTGAGTGAATTTTTTTCTTCTCCTCTGAACTGTGCACATTAGTCTGTACTGGCCTAACTTTTTGAAACAAAATTTTTTGTATATCACTGTGTAACTCTTTTGTCCAAGAGAATCTCGTAAAATTAAGCATCTGACTGGCTAAATACGTAAGGATAAACAAAATGGTATGAGTCACAGGGCTAAACATAAGCTGAGCGTGTACTGTGTTGGTTCAGTGTCACACGTTAAGAATAAACTGAAGCATGTTCAGAGATCGACAAAACTCTTAAGGATTTCAAAACCATGCTACATGAATAAGAGCAAAAAATAAAATGGAGGTGTGCTTAATCTGTTGGGGGGGCGGGAAACTTGCGCTTGGAATTGATGGAGTATAACAGCCATCTTAAGATACCTGAAGGCTATCATATTTGAAGGGCATCAGACTCGCGCTACGTTGCCCAGAACTAGGACTAACATGATGAGGTCATACTCCACGTTGCCCAGAACTAGGACTAACGTGATGAGGCAATAAAGTACAGTTAAGTACAGATCTCTGAGCCTGGAGTCAAGAGACTTGAATCCTACAGCAGACCTTTAATAAACTATGTGATATTAGAATTACATGTATTGTTCCCAGATATCAATTATCTTGTACGTAAAATTTTACATATTTTCTTTTACAGATAAGGATGCTAATCTAGCTAATTTCTAAGGTAATTTTCAAATAAAAAATGACATGGAAGCATATTCTGGGTCAACTTCTTACCATCAGAGCATCCCTGAACATGGAATCGGCTACCTCACCGCTGTAGTGAGTGCTGTCTCTAGATCATAGCAATATGATCATTTGCTCTGCATAAAGGCAAATGCAGGACAGACAGCAAACTATTTTAAATAAAAGCCAAATGTCCACGAGCTGATGTCCTTATAAAAAGAATCAAAAAGATAGGATGGAAGGTTACTCTGTTTTCTATACTGCCATCTATTGAGTAAATTATACTAGTAGTGTAATTCTAGAAAAAAATCCTAAATCATTTTTTTAGCTCACCTGTACCGAATACTGCATTTTCCTTTGTTTCTAGATATACTACATATTATGCTAACACTTGATTCTTTGAACCTACTTAATATACCTTACAGAACAACAGTATAACTTTCTTGTCTGAACAACTTTATATACTAGCCAACATATTATTTCTTAATCCTTAATATAACAGATTCCCGAATTACAGTGTAAGTTTATAAAACTCGAATTTCTCAAACCGAAGTTAAAATTACTCAGTACAGCTACTGTTTTCTAAATTCTAGGTTTCATTGAACAAAAACAGGCAGACACAGCAAACACGAAGCCAGGCAATAACCTCAAGGAATCTGTACTCAACTTTCCATTCGAAGTACAATATTTTAACAGTTCTCAGGGCTTAAGAAATACTAAATTAAATATGGATCATAAACATTACGAGAGTAAGGGTAGGAGATGCCACGGGATATATTCAGGCCAGGTACCAAAAGGGTACAATGTCTGCAGATACTTGTTTCTAAATGCACTCCAAAGTCATGCAAAAACAAATCTGTGGTTTATCCATTGCTCTTCTCTGAGAGAGATTTTTAAGAAAAATTATTTTCCTAACTCTACATCTGTCTGAAAATCAAAGGATATCTGTTGTAGTTTACTTTATCATCAGACATTGCACGGAACACATTTTGAACATTTTTTCTACCTATGCCATACCTTACCTCTTGAGTAGAGATCCCTTTGATCGTAATTCCTGAAAACTCCGATGCACCCTTCATAGTTCCCTAGTGTTTTTTTTACTGCAGTGATCTAATTACCTTAGATGTACATTTAGTGGGAAAAAACTTTAAAGAGCACCTATGTGCTTATTTTGGAAACACAAATCTTTCACATTTCAGGACTACGTTACTGTGAATTTTTTTAAATGGGAAATAAAAATACCTGAATTTTAAAAAATCAAGAAATCGCTTAGGACATCTAGGCACTGACATTTTGCTCAATTGTTTCAATACAGCAAAATACAGTAAGATCTGTGCACATATTTAACAATAAGCTACAAGGTCAGTACTTTGCAGGCACACTGCTTATGTTACCTTTACCTTTTTTAAAACAGAAGCTATGTTAAAAAAAAAAAAACTGTTTCCTCACTAAAGAACAAAACAAAACTTTTTCCTATAGCTAATCCCATGAATCATGGTGAAACAATAAGCCTACGTTCTTACACCTCGGAGATAAAGCCATGTTCAACATTCTGTGATGTTTTTATTTTGAAGCTATTGACAGTGTAGGGAAAAGTCCCTGTAATGAAAATTATTTAAAACTCTCATTTCACCATTATTTTTACAATATGTTTGAAATTTCCAGTGCAAGATTTTTATTTAACCCAACCCTACCCTTCTATACACATACAGTTAAGACTTATAAATTTTTTTGTATTCAAGGAAAATACAGCCTTCCATCTTCCATAGAAATACATTATGTCTGTAAACAAACCTTTTAATAGCTTTAAATCTAAAAACAAAATTTTATCCACACAATCTTTACTTATCTTTCCCAAACTTACCAGACTAATAAAGCCAAGAATTTTAGCTCCTTTCCCGCCACCACCCCCCACAAATACAGTAGCTATTCTAAATCATAATTTCCTTTTATAATTCTCATTTTTCAGAGTATAACTTCTTCAGGGAGCCAAATTCTTTCATTTTAATCCGCAAATTGTCATTAATCAAACTTTTATTTCTTGCTTAGGACCCTATCATAATGTTCATTTTTAATTTTAGGAGTCCATTCTTATGAGTTTTCTTCAAATCAAAAGGGAAATCTCCTCTTGCTTCTAGCAGACTCTGCATAGCAAAGGTAAATTGTTCCAGTGGCTTTGATTAGGTTTATGTAGATATAAAGACAAGAATCATTAAAACCCAATTTTATCCTTTTCCATGTTGTTTTGATAAGGTTAAAAGCAAGAGACTCTAAGATTTCCCCTCCTACAATTAGTTGTTCAAGGAGAACATGAAAATATAAAACATTTTCTTCTCCTATTAACAGCACCCACAAATTGGGTAGCTCTCCAATCAGCCATTATTTTCAAATATTCTTTTTCTGAATAGAGGAACTGTCTCTTGTATGCTATTTTGTGAGGGTCTTTGTTTATCAAGATCTCACTTTAAAAGATGTGACCATATTACTCCTGATATTTATGATATTAGCTCAAGAGTTTTAATGGTTTGCAAAACTGGCATACAAAAACGGCATCTAAAACAATCCAATTCTGGAAACAAAGCTAAGATGAAGCTAATCAGGAAAATGCAAAAATAGACTAAATAGATCACCTATTTCCTACATTTGGCACTGGGTGACCCAATGAGAATCATTTTAATTCAATAGTTTAAAATAATTTTTTTTCTCAAAAGAGTTTAACATATACAAGGATAGGATATATATTCAGAAATACTTAGAGGAAGACACATAAAATTAAAATACACTTAAAAATACTGTTGTAGTTTCCATTTTCTACTCCTGAAAGAAAAATAAGCCATTTATCAGTAAGTGCATTTTTTTACGGAGAAAATATTTATTAGTTTTTCAAATGATCACATAATACAAATATTACACAATTAGTCATTCTAGAAAAAAATTAGCTTATAGTAATATCCGTAAAATAAACACTGAAAAATATAGGATTGCATATTGTGACACGAAATATTTAAAAATCTGAAAGGAAAATGTATCAAAATAAAAGTTTAAACACATCAGTTCACATTAATATACATAAAGTTTCACTTTTAAATAGCTTTTAGTGGCATGAGATGAATAGAAATGCACTTCATTTCTTTTGCACACTTTAAGGAACAAAGCTAAAATTTAATCAAAGCATGAGATTAATGGGATTAAGAGTTTAAATCGCTTCTTCAAAACTGAAACAGAAGGCTAATAATAACCTCACAGGCCATAAACTCGTTTGTACTGTGGTTCAAAGAGTTCAACTAAATTTCCAAGCAAATCTCACTTTCAGTTCCCTGAGTTCTTTCTAAAATGTTGAGTGAGTAGTTGTTTTTTAATTTATGTGTGTTTGTAACAACTATCGTACTAACTTTTAACAGAAACAAATCAAGAGTAAAAAGCTGTAATTGTTTATGGGAATTCAGAGCTCTCTAGGGAAATTTTAGTTCAAACTGATCTTTTAAATTTACTTTTAAGTACTGTACATACAAAAGTTTATTTATAATAAATGAGGGGAAAACAAGGCCTCACAAATAGCCGAGAAGACTAAAGGCCAGGTTATAATCTAGCCAATGTGGGTTTCCAAAACCTTTAAGATTCCTAAGCCATTTAAATGCTTCCATATTATTATCTCTAGAATTTCTATTCTTAAAATTTATACCAAATAAAACAAACTGGCAGCATTGCATAACTTTTAAAAACTTCTTTAACAGCTTTCGACTGACCAGTTAAATAGATACCAAAAAGAGAAATAAAGCATTTTGATCACTACTGCCATCAATTTATCGATAGTTTGGATAACTATCTTGCAACACTTATTCACACATAGAGGCTTATCCTACTACTACTAATTGTTTTTGCTCTATAAAATACCTCTTTTTTTTCAGTTATCATTCAACTTTAGAACGCCTGCAATGCAGAACGATACCTCAAGTTTAACAGGTATTTACTACTTTAGAAGACTGAACTCAAAGACGTCTCTACTCCTATGCTGGAATCTTTGTTGATTTGACAAATAAGAATAAGGCCCAAGACTAGAAAAAGTTTAAAAAGTGCATCCTAATATTAAAAGTAATTTGGGAGTAATTAAGAAGTTCACCCTTTATATTTCCTAGTTCCTTTCAGTGTCAGGCAACAAAAGACAGTTTCATTACGATTTCTGGATCTCCCAGACTACTAAAAAATAAAAAGTCTGCCTGCTTCATTAAGGTGATTTTCAATCCCACAAATCTTTTAAGTGAAACAGATACAGAGAGCTGCTTTTTAAAGAAAGGTGTCTCTCATGCTTCCTCTATTTCAGTCTTCTGAATAAAAAGGAATTATTTTCATGGCCATGTAAAATTCCAATCTGAAAAAATTACGTCATTATTTGAGCCTTTCCGTTTCCAGATCAAGAGTACACCAGAGTAAATCTTAAAGTTTATCAATGGCAAGATCAGGTGGCTCTCTCATCCTTGTGTCTTCTAGATATAATGCATGGCTCCGTTCACCACTGCCTTCCAAACTGCAGCTGCTGCATGTGTGACAGATATCATCCATGAAGGCTCTGCTAGAAGAGTTCCTTTTGCTGAAGTATGATGTTTACCAGTTGAAAGAAATCTGGGCAATTAGAGAACAAATAAACCGGTCTCCCATTATCAAGATACCTGGAGTCACAGAAGGGATCCACCAAGGAGAAATGAAAACCTGCCAAAGGCACCAACTTCACGTTCTACCCACTGTAGGTGATAAGAACTTCCTGGAATCAAATCCTACCCTTGGCATCAAAGAAACTAAGAGAAAACCATCTTAATGCCATGGGGAAAATCTAGGAAAAGGCTCGTTTGCCTTGTTATATCCTGAAACTCATATTCATTCATATGTATCTTATTAAAGAATGAAGCCTAGACTTGACAGTAAAACCATAATGGTACTATCATTGCATCTTGTTTAAAGATCTACTTAATTTGAAGTCCTAAAGTTTGAGGTAGGAAAAAGACCAAAAAGTTCTCACTAACACGGTAGGATAACACCTGGACATCAGACTGTGTAAATTAGGAGAATTCAGATGCCCAGCTTGCCCAAAGACGAAATAAAGAAACTTCTTAAATACTGGAATATAAAAGAGCACTTAGAAGTCCACTAATACCAGTAAAGGCTAAAATGGGCAAATATTTCCTTTAAAAAATTCCTGTGGACTACACAGGCATTCACCAAATCAAGTGCCCCCAAATCACCCACTGCTTTAATTATCTGGAGAGAAAATTAAAATAAATTTTAGGTCTCTTTTCTGAACGGGCACTAGTTAGCATTCTTAGAAAAACAAACAGATTGCAGCCCCACTTGGTTCTTATATGAACCCAAGGAGTTTAACAGTAGAATTAAATGGGCAATGGAAGGACACTCCAATCTATAAATAAACCCAAGTAAATAATGGAAAGCACCCACTTGTTTATTATCCTTTCCCAACTCTCTCCAGAAGCTGGATATTCTGCCTCCAAGGGTTCAGTGGAGAAAGTGGACCCCTGACGTCAAAAGCTCTCCGTGGTCTTGGCTGTATCTGTGGTTCTAGGATCACTCCTTGCACCTCTGGTAGGAGAGAAGCACTGAAATAGAGAGCTGAATATAGATTTAAGAAAAAATTCTTATTAAGAAATTACATTCTCTGGTCATTTGAGCTTGTAATGACTTATCCTCAGGATAAAAAGGAGCTACATTTGGGCATACTTTCCTTAGTGCCTTCTTAATTTGAATTTTAGAAGTCTGTCACCACAAATGATTCATTCCTCAGTCACTATTAAGAAGGGACCTATTTTGGTCTAAGCCGTAACATGTTCTGTGACAAACCACCCAACTTCAAGTGGAAGACCAAATCCAAAAATGATCAATTAGGACTGGAAAACAAGATCAGTTGTCTTAAAGGGACAGGGAAAGGCACTCGACCTCAGATATATCAAGGAAGTCCCAATTAACTCTTCTGTCAAAGAGAAGAAGACGGATTGCAAAGTAGAAACAGAATAATCAAGCATATTAACAGGAATACCACTAAACCTTGGGAATTGTCTAAGAAGCTGGATTTGTTCTCAGTTTTTAAGTTTTCAGTAATTTAAAGAGTTAATCAGACTACAGTCCCATATTATAGCAATATAAAACGAAATCTGAATTTTATCAAGCTATGACTACTGTCACTGAAAAAGATTTATTCTTCAAGCACTCATATTTAAAAGCGGGAGGGCAGAATTGCGGATACAGGCAATACAGACTAAAAATCTTTTTTCAAACATATGATCATTTGGTTTGGGGTCAAGAAGGACCAGGAAATAATCATTAATGGCTACAATGCAGAAATTTAAGCAGTAAGATATACCCAAATAACAGACGATGATAAAGATACTGGAAAATAGTTTACTTTATTATAGAGATTAGGTAACTAAGAGAAGGAAGTTCAAAGGACACAGCATCTGAGCAAGGAAAAGCTGAAAGGAGAATAAGACAGACAGATAGGTATTTAAAGTTACAGGGACTGCAGGATAAATTTTAACCGTAGAAAACAGATCCATTATACTTTGTGGTACAGAGTGATACATGAGTATTAAATTTCAGATCTCACTCTAAACAGAAGGGTGCTGCGTATTCCTGCTGGATGGAACGCAGGCAGTCACGCTATGTGACTTCAGGGACGTGTTATATTTGGGGATAAATTAAGAAAAAATGCTATCAAATAATGTCTCTCTCACACCAACTGGTCATCACAAGGGTTCCTTACCTGTTAGTGGAACGAGGATTGTGCTCTCCTGTTCTCTATCAATCAACCAACAAAGGTTATAGTCTCAGCACTAAGAAGGTGGCAACCAACCAAAGTTAGTTTTTAATGCCTTCATTTCCTCCTGGCTCTGCCAGCCAGTTTGGAAATATGCCAGCAGCTGAAAAGGAATGGTTATTCCATTACCTAACAACAGTTAGACTAAATGTTTTTTTTTTTAAAGCCTGAAGATGAAGGAATGAGCTAATAACCCTTCTGTACTTTAGGAATATGTTCAAGTCTCTACAAGTGAAAAATGTAAACAGTTTGGACTAAGAAAAGAAAACCTACAAATTTAACCATCAAATCTGTCATTTCCAGAATTTAAGCAAAGAAATGAAAAAACAAATCTAAAGAAGTCAAGGGGGTGAAACCGCCATCCAACGTGAGCTACCAAACAAATAACTACAAAAGCTATGAGCCTACGAGGCAGCTATTTTCCATTGTAAGTTTCCAACAGATTTTAAATCCTGAAGTCTTTAAACAGTATTCTGCAGTAGAATCACATTGAGTAGGAACATGAGGGACGGCAAGAGGAAAGGAGTACAAAAAAGAAAAAGATCTGAATACTGAATGTCTCAAGAAATACAATCTAACTAGGTATTTGCAAGGGTCCAAAACTCACAAATCCAATAGCAGAGTATTCCACAGCTGGAGTTCTTAAGAGGTGGCTTTTTAACAGATGAGAAAGAGCTTAAAACTGATACATCAGAGCTATTTTATTTATTTTCATTGGACCTATACAGTGGAAGCAGGTGCTACAAAAGTGCTTTTAAAATTATTAAACAATCATCCTCCAGCCTTTTCTAATCAATTTTCTTGACAAATCATTCTTTTTCATATCTAATAATATTTCAATATAAACCGTGAAAATTATTAAAGACTCCCAAATGAACGAGATCTAAGTAAAACTTAACTACTTTGATTAAGATACAGTTTAAAATATATTCAGAAACTATAAACAAGATATGATTTTCCAAATTTCCCAGTTTTCCTTCATTTCTTAAATACTAATTAGTAACAATATATCTGATTGAAAATACAGGCAAAAGGGGAGCATTCCATTATGGAACAGAATTATTTGGTAATTTAAGTTCAGAAGCCCACTTCACTTTGAAAATGAAAAACAACTCCGAAGAAATCGTATCTTGCTCAGATTAATAATGGTCTAAGTTTACAATTTCTCCTTCAGTAGGAGCTCCAAACCCTTGACTTATTTACCACACCCCACAGAGTATATAAATTAAAAATGCAACAAACTTAGATTTAAAAAAAAAAAAAAAAAGTCCTTAGGTTAGGTTATAGGGTAAGTTAAATATGAGAGTTGGCTGAAGAAATAATAGATCCACTTATAAACTTCTCCCAAGTCAGATTACTTTCAGGATATAACTTCTTTGCTCTGCCTGAAGTATGCCAAAACTTGTGGATTCAACATATTCATACTCAAAAAAAAAAATTAAACAAATCTCCCTAAATAGAAATTATTTTGAATCATTGAGGACAGCTGCATCTCTCTTGCTTCAGGAGTTAATAATCTATGAAGACTGTGGATTAGATAGTGTATCATATCACTTATGTAGAAAAATGTAAAGGCACTTTCAAAATGAGATCATTATTCAAACAAGAAAGGACAGCCTTTGCAAGACTACTACTGATGGAGGCTCACAAGAATGACATAGTAGGACCTACCCTAATTCTGTTTCAGTATACAGCATTCTTCTACGTGATGTTTCAAGAGGGAAAAAAGAAATTACTCCACTGCAGGGCTTGCATTTCAACCACTAAAGAAGAAATTCCAAACCAAAGCTAATAAAATCAGCAATGCTGAAATGCCACAAAGGAACTCAAACAAGGTGTTAGAAGGTCTATTCATCTACGATTTTAATATTTTCCATTAATACTTAAAAGTTTAAAGATTCTTACTGAAAATCAAGTCACATTCAAATCAGAAACAATCTAAGTATTTTATATATAAATACCACTCTGAGAAATTCTCCCGAAATGTACAAACTAGACTATTTGCAATATTTGTTCTCAATACTAAATTACTAAATGAGCATATACTGTTTATTACTTTTAAGCGTTTCTAATATCAATGAAAGAGGGAAAGCTACACCTGATCATTTTTAAGCAATGAAATTGAAGGTAACACATTTCTACAAAGACTATGATTTCTATTCACTTGTGTTATAGAAGACCAATCTGAAGTCGGAATTATTAAGTTATAGATTTACAGATTATTTATAAAACAAAACATTCTACTACTCTAAACTGGACACAGTAATATCTTTTTCTTATTCATCTTTTATCATTCACTGTTACTAATTGTAAGGCACTTCTAAAAAGAATAAGAATTTCCCACAAATCCCTCCAAGTGTCCAGATCAGCCCCAGATGGCATTAAGAAGAAAATGAAAGAATATCCTTAAGAGAAGCAGTGAGTCTTTGCATCTCCAGCCCCTAGACTATACACCGAATTAAATAAATTCAGTAAACGTTTTACAAATGAACGAAGTCTACCGGTCAAGAAACAGAAAGTAAGCAGAATTTTGTCAAGTGGCTGGTATCTAAAGTTAAACTTTCTTATCCTAAAAGAAATAAAAACTATTGAAAGTGTATTAGTTCCATGGATTCTCTTTTGGGGCTCATCAGCTACTAGGATTAATTTCTAAATATGATCAGCAGAAACGTCAAAGGTATTATCCTGAGGTGACACAAATTTTAGCTAAATTACAACACCCGTTATAGATTTTCTAATGTTCTTTTCCAGACCTAAAATTAGTAAAAAACAAAAAACCAAACCGGATATTGCCAGAACACCCAATTTCAATTTTTCAATTTTTCAATTTTAAAAAGTGAGAGATCTTGTCAAAAAGCAGACAGACAAACAAAGCCCAGCTTGCTCAGAATTAGTTAGCCACGGTATTGTACTGACTCTGGAGGAAAAGGTTCTATCTAAACCAGAACCTTGTATATACTGTCAAATGGGATACACCTTATAAACACTAAAATAAGGAAGAAAGCCTGGAACTTTAAGGAATGCACAGCATGGAAAGCAATTACCTAACAGAGAAGAAAGTTGTAATGAAAGTGAAAAACCCTATTAGATTGTTTTAAGAAATCAATATCTAACCAAATTCCAAGATTTACCACTATATTTTCTCTTCATCCTTTTGGAAAAGATACTATCCCGAAATGTTATTGGGATTCAAGTTACTCCACTAGGTTTAAATGTCAAGTGTTTGTTCAAAGATAGAAAAGAAAAAAATAGCTAATCCTGGGCTTCCCTGGTGGCACAGTGGTTGAGAGTCTGCCTGCCAATGCAGGGGACACGGGTTCGTGCCCCGGTCCGGGAAGATCCCACACGCTGCGGAGCGGCTGGGCCCGTGAGCCATGGCCGCTGAGCCTGCGCGTCCAGAGCCTGTGCTCCGCATCGGGAGAGGCCACAACAGTGAGAGGCCCGCATACCGCAAAAAAAAAAAAAAAAAAATAGCTAATCCAATTATGTCCTCATGTTCCACTGACTATAAGATGAGGAAGTAAAACAGGAAAAAAAAAGAAAATGCACAATACATTTTTAGAGTAGTTAATGCTCTATAGAATAAAAGATAAAAGGCAATCATAAAAATATATATCGACTATAAAAAAAATTCAGAATCAAGTTGCCTTTAAAAAGGCAACTTCAGGGTCAAGATGACTAAACACAGAAACATTTAAATTGACCACTGCCTCCTTTGAATGAAAAAGGCTCTGTTCCTTGAAACAAAGAAAACCTTAGTGAACATAATTTTATGTTAAAATCAGTGGAAATATTTTGA